AGCTCAACAATCTCTTTCCCTAATATCTTCCAAGTGCTGGCCACTTGCGATACATCCATTCATTTCCGAGAACAACAACGAACCCCCATCAAGCAAGCCACTTTCAGCTGTCCTATCAACTTCAAGTTTCTTCTTCACCATCAAGTTCACAAGTACCTACCCGCCAACGGCAAAATGACGAAGATCACCAACATCCTTCTCCTCTTGGCAACAGTCGCCTTGTCCGCGACGGCGTTGCCTGCTCCCGGCGCCGATGGGAATGGAATCGCCGTTCTGGCGGTACGCGATCCCCAGAACCCGCCAAATGGAGGGCCGGTAGGAGGTGGGGGGACGGTGCAGGGAGATGTCGGCCCAGGACGGCCCGCCACTCCTCGGCCGCCCACCCCTCCTCCTGCCCCGCGTCCCCCACCGCCCCCAATGCCGACCCGGCCGGCCCCTGCCCCGCCTGTCCCTGGCGACCAAGGCCCGGGCACCCCGGTCTCACGCCCGCAAGCACGTCCCCCGTCGCGGGGCGGAAAGGGGAAAAAGCGTAATGCTGTTCAGGTTTAGTGTCCTTTTCTGAAGGGAGACGGACGTATTACCTGAAGGTGGCTTGTTTTTCCGGTTCTGTTGTGTTGAGCTTTTTCACTCATTTCATGTTTTGGACTTGCGTTCCCAAGGTCCTCTGACCGCAGTCATTCTCTTGTTATTTCCCAGGAAGGGCTGGTCCCTGAACGGGAAGAATCCCGAGGTGGAGGAAGCGCCGTTATGCTCTGATGGCTCAATATTACTTCTTTTACCTTGACATTTCCCGCTGCTCTTTAACATTTAAGTTTTGATGGCCCCCAAGTGCGCCACCGGGTGTTCAGGTCACGATTTTCGAAGTCCTTCATCAGCTAACCAACCTTGGATGTTTGATTCAAGATAAGGCTTTTTTGAGAAAGGGTAGAAAGACCGAAAACCTCGGCATGGTAGAATTGCGAGTGGAAATTTGGGGAAGAGAGTTAAAAGAAATGGCTTCATTAGACGACTTCAAGCAGGCGTAGACTCCTGTTCGGCCGAACTAGCTCAGTTCGGGATTCGTAGATGCGTTGTTTGATTTCAACGGCAGCGAAGCCGGGCCTTCAATGAAAGCCCTGTCGGAACAGTTGTTTTTTTTCTCGGAATTCCCAATTCCGGGCCACGTATTGATAAAGCAAATATGTAGAACGGGGAATGCGCCTTTTCCACGGTCACTGTCACGGTATTCCGGGTTCAGCAGGTCGGATAAACACGAGCAAAAAGATTATGTCTTAAATTATAGCCTAAAACCGGAGTAGAAAAAAAGGGAGGAAGAAGAAAAGAAACTTAAAAATAAGTAAATAGGGTAAGTTATGATATATTTATTAAAATGTTATAAGTTAATCTGACGATCAGGATCCTCGTCCTGGGTTTGGAGGTGAGGTTCAAGGGGGTGAGTAGTCACACACAGTAACAATGGGCAAATAGAGTATCAATGAGTAAATAGATCGCTTGCTGAACCACTTTCTCAATTGCAAAGACTGACTGTCTACTTTGGTTGATAGGTGAAGATCCACAAAGGTTCTTCAGCGGCTCTTCTTGAATTGGGGGTCATCCTCTAACTGGAATCTTTGCAAGTTTTCCTAGAAGTCTTTTCTTGTTGTCCCGGACGGCTCTCCAATATTGAGAGCTTGTAAGGATGGAGATACTGTCGCCATCAGAACCATTACGACATCGCAAGGTTTGCTATTGCCAGATATCATTACCTCGGAAGGGGAAAGCTTGGTTACGGTAAGTTACAAATTCATAGTGAAGTGTTTCCGTTAAGTCTTTTCACTGACGTTTTTCATCTATCCAGTATGCCACGTTGTTTTGCGGTGACTAGACTAAGGTGTTTGAAATAAGCAGGTTCCTAATCGAGAGCGGATGCGACATAGGCCGCGGTAAGTGCGAAGTTAGCTTCTATTTTAAGTCAACTCCCCAAGTCCATTAACATATATGATGAAATGGCAGCAAGCTAAACATGAATCATGCATTAGCACTTGAATACGTGTTCAAGCCCTGGGACAGAATGTCCAAAATAATCGTCAAAAGGATATCCAGCAATTGAGGGGCTCGGAAGATCAACTTGCAAGGCTACTCACAGAAAGCGTCGGCGAGATCGAGAATTTTGAATTTTTCGGTATTATGCTCCTAATCCTCATCCTCGTTTATAGACGTCTCCCCAGCATCAACTCAGCTCTCAACTATCTCTGCGACAAGGGGGCCGTCACTTATCCTTAGGAGGCGGCAGATCAAGCCCAATCCATGAAGGATAATGACAACGTGCTTCGGCTCCAAACGATCTACCGGTTGCCTCTACCCATTGTCGCCTGTATCCGAAGTTGTTCGGGCGCGAATGTCAACAGCGTTGATATGATGGGGAATATCGCCATGTCGTTCAGATTGCATAAATCAATCAACGCAACCTTTGGCAGTATCGCGTCACAGGTCGAGGACTTCAGCGGGCGTGTCTTAACTATCAGCATGCTCTTGCAACTTGGCTGGGATCCCAAGGCGAGTCTTGATGGCACACTGTTGCACAGTATAGGGGACTTTGCATCGTACGACCCGGACTTCACCGCCGTTGCTTTGAGGCTTGCTTGAAGCTGAATGGATTCACTGTTTGCGAGGATTGTCAGTGTGGAAAGAACAGAGAAAATGGACCGGGATTTGACGACAATCAGACGATGGGGCCCATAGCGCCATCAACAACGCCGGAGATTTTGCCCACTGAGACGAAAGATATGCGGATCCCAGGATCTTGGATAGACTCGGATATTGAAAAATTTGAGCGTCCGTCTCTGAGGAGACGGTCATTTGTCTGACGCGAGGAGCACTTCACTTCAACTTATGACGGCCGTGTGTGGGAAAAAGAGATGTATTCATCTCAAATCGGGAGAGGAGTGGATCTCGGCTGCATATTCGATATTTAATCAGGTAGATGTTCTACACCAGGTGGTTCGATAGCAGGTTCTTACCAGCAATATCATGAGTTATCATGGATGAGCAATATCGACGCAGTCGCTTCGTGCCAAACAAATCGAAACCCCCAAAAAGTGAATCGGTATCTTCATTGATTCTAGTGCAGTTTACAGAAACCAATGAAAGCACAATGCAAGACTTCATGTTACACAGCGTCATTCAGCGGTTCTAGGTGCGCCACATTTTGTGAAGTATTGCATCCGGAAGCGGTTGTTCTCACTCAGCATTCCGGTGGTCCCATATCAACTCTCGGCGTTTGGCTTTGTTCACCCCTGACTCGACTAGTCTCTCACCAAGAAATGTTTAATCCTGGCTCAGAATGATCAGTGCCAACGTCGGCTCGAAAATAAATTGTGCCCCAATAAATTCGCCTAATTATAAGACTTGACAGCCACTCACTAACACCATGGTCTGGGTCATGATAGCGCGCGCCGCCCGACGCGTACGAGCTCGTCTGCGGTCAAAACACCCCAGGGACGCAATCGGCGCCAAACCAGCCTACATCACCGGAACCGCCGTGCCCAGGATAGGAGCCACCACCCCCACCACCACAGACCCGGACGTCGTGATCGTAGGCGGCGGCCTAGCAGGCGTCTGCGCAGCTATATCAGCCGCCGAAAAGGGCGCCTCCGTCCTCGTCCTCGGCCGTGGCTACAGCGGCGGCACGTCCGCTCTGTCAGGTGGCATCGTCTACGCCGGCGGCGGCACGCGCCAGCAGATCGAAGCCGGGTATGGGCACGACACGCCTGATAACCTTTACTGGTACATGCGGCAGGAGATTGGCCTGCTCGACCAGGAAATCGACGCCGAGGCTGGAGCTCCAAGTGTCGACGACGCTCCGCTCCGTCAGTTCTGCAATGAGAGCGTCGCACGCATGGAGTGGCTTGAACATCACGGCGCTTCCTTCGGTAGTGGTAATACTACAGTATGCCCGTTCAAGACAAACTACCCACCGGACAGGTACAACTGATACTTCTCGGGGAACGAGAAAGCGCATCCCTTTGCAACTATCGCGGAGCCCGTCCCAAGAGGACTTGTATGGCGCCAAGTTCAGCGAGGCCATGATCGAGCATTTCGGCGGCAAGGGATTCCTCCTTCTTGACTCGGTGCAGTGGGCCAAGGCCAAGAGCCAGCTTCAGGAGCAGACAAACACGGTTCAGAAGGTGGCGGCCAGATACCTGTTGGTCTGAGCCCACAAGAAGGCAAAGACTTTGCAGGATTTGGCGGCCAAGATCAAAGTTCCTGCTCTGGCCCTGAAGACGACGATTCGATACAATGCCGCCACCGAAATAGGTGCCCCTGATCCGGTCAATAAGCTGGAATACCGGTCTCCGGTCTCGCGGGGCCCGTTTTATGCCATTGATGTCTCGCTCCGGCCTAGCGGCTTGCAATGTGTCTGGGGACTCACACTGGGTGGGCTGAGAGTTGACGGGATGTCAGGGATGGTGCTTGACAATCATGGCGATAAGATCAGGGGGCTGTATGCTGCGGGCAGGAACGCCGTGGGAGTCTGTTCTAACAGCTATGTCAGTGGGCTGTCTCTGGCAGATTGTGTCTTTTCTGGGAAAAGAGCGGGAGAGCATGCCGCTGGATCTGTGCGGAGGACTTCGCAGGGTAAATTATTGTGTTGTCCGCGTTGAAGTATTGTTGAATTGAATGCCTGATCTTCAAGCTAGGATGTTTCAGGTCGGTTTGACTTCAAGTATGCCCTTTTACAAACACTCGCAAGTCTCAGTTTACGGCGAACGAGCGTGACATTTTAGTCCTACCAGTATCACAAACCCTGTTCAATACAATCGAGCGAGGGCTTACTGCACAAAAATTAAACATTATTTCGCTCATGTATTGTAACAAGTTTCACCTCCAAAAACAGATTCGACTGTCGGAAGTCCCTTCAACCTCGAATCTAAAAACGAAAAAAAAATACTGAAATGAGTATGGGTCTTGGGGTCATGGAGGAGTAGAATCGTCAAAGTCTTTATCGGATCTAACACATCGGTCGGGTGGCGCAATGGTAGCGCGTTGTCTTCCGGTGACATGACTCGTAAGAATCAGCAATCTGAACTGGCAAAGGCTCTGGGTTCAAATCCCAGCTCGATCGCAACTTACATTTTTGCCCGGGTATCCAGCGATCACTGGAAATGACCGTCTTGCACTGGTGTTTCGGCGAGTAGACGTTGTGATGGTGTCGCTTAACGTCCTCGCGGTTGTGGAAGTCACTGCTACCATCATCACAGGTTCTGAGTCTATTCAAAGTCTAAAGTTACTGATGGAGCCGACGTGAAATTGCGCCGTGTAGCTGCAAACCCCTTTTCAGGCGGGAATATGCTAGTGGATTCTTTATGAACAATTCCTTTGCTTTGGGTCCCATAACCCTTGTTCTCGCCGGCTCTTTGCTTTGTGCTAGGCAACGACCTTTGTAGGGTCACTCAAGAAATTTCGATAGGTTTTGGAAACAATGTCATTGTCGCCAAGTGAACGCTCATTGCCTGATTCAGGTTCATCAAGGTTATTTGCTGAATAAAAGAACGGAGATACGCCCTGACACGCTTTCTGTCCAGGGAGTCACTACAGACAACTGAGCGAGCCGACAGTCGTCGCCAGTTACGCAACTTCAACACCAACCAAGCAAAACAACACACATATTCCATTGTCAGGATGTGTAACGTCTCATTTGTCCGTCAAGTGCACTGCGGGGTCAACGGTCACCCACCGCACTCCATGACGGATGTAGTAGAGATTGCAAAAGACTGCGACTGCGACAGGGAAGTGACCAAGGACTTGGGTCCAGAGGAGTTTCAGTCGGGCCGGCGGTTCAGGGAGTCGTGCCGAAAGTGCAACCCCATCATCTATTGGTACGATGAGATTCCGGGTTACGATAGTGATTCCGACGACGATCCTATGACTTGGGGTGATATCAGCCTGTATTATTCCTCCTCCCGGCGCTCTAATGCGCAATCCTCCGCAAATGAAACGGATGGCGCTTCCCAGAGCGAATACTCTACTGAGAATGCTGGACCTTCTCAAAATGAAGCCTCTGACGAGAGCGAGAAGGGAAGCCCTTCTCAAAACGAAGGTCCCGCTGAGGATGAAGAAAAGAGAAAGCTCGAGGAGGCAGCAGAGGCCTTGACGGCCCTGGCCAAGTCCCACTAAGTGTCAAGAATTTATCCCTAAAAACCTGACGACGGCTCGCACTTGGCGTAGTTCGACTGGGCATCAATTGGGTTGGGATGACACCGAGCAGGCATCGGTAGCTAACTTTTCACGACCTCTCACATCAACAGATGAAAAGACACAATTTCCTCAAATCTGGTATCATTACACACACTTTCATTGGCTGGATGACCAAGTATGAGCCTACTGGCATCACCCAACAACACTCCTTTCATCTCAATGTGACAGCAACTTGAACTTTAAGGTGCCCTAGTTAATTGTTAGTAGGCTGTCGACCGTCCTGGTGCATCATTTCCATCATCACCGATTACAGCAGAGATAACACTAAGAATTTGACAAAAGTGTAACCCACTGATTAATCCCAACTTGCCATACTGTCCATCTCTTACCTCATCGTCTTTATGTGAAACACTAGTTGTCGGCAAGTAGCAGCACTTATCTACCTCTCTCTGCCGCCCGGCAACCTCCGGATGATAAGTGCTTACAATCATGAGGTAATACCAGCCATTATAACATGCTAAATGATTGTGGGGGTGATTTTTGATCTGATAACGGCCAACTCCGGCCGCCGCATCACACAATTGTATTGCTTCGGCGGGTTTGTTTAATAGCGTCCTGCAAGTGTCAAGTTTTGAGGGAACAGTAGGCTTCTGCTGCTTCTGATAAAAAAGATAAGTCGGCACTGAGGCAGAAATGAGCTTCCCAACTGGGCACAAGTGTCGGCATGTGGGTGGCCGCCATGCAGGTCATGATTCGCCCGCCAAGAGACACCCTTGCCCGTCGATCTGCCGGCCCCCAGACCGGGGTGCTTGCAGCTCTCGCTTCTCTTTCGACGAACGAATTGCGACCGTGGGCGGAACGACTGGCTACTCCCCCAATGCCACACCCCCGTGCTGTAAGTCCACCGCGATGCAAGCCGGAACGGCACACACTCACCGACTCGAAACCAACCCCCCCCCCACACCCACTTTGGCGGCAAGAATTGCCGCCCGACATGAGCATGTTGGGGCTGGAAGTGCAGGAGAACATGCAAGAGAACAAAGTTCTATCGTAATGGAATGTGACTACTCGCTCGAAGGCGGGGGAGAGCATTGATCTTACTTGGTTTGGATACCGAGTGGGTGGTCAGCTTCGCGCAGAATCTAGACCCCTGAGACCCCGTTCAACCTCGAAATGCGTGAGGGGACTGACGGTTACACTCACACTCACACCAAATGCCAGACGTGAGGTGTGGCACGTCTCCTGACGGCTGCATCCCAGTGGTCCGGGGATGGGCTTTGCATCGGACGACGCTTGTGCCAGGAACCTTCCATTGTTGGACAACGTCTCCGTGGGGAGCATTGCTAGGTCCCACGGGATGAGCCCCCGATCAACGGAACGCTCTCACGGGGCGTGTGTGCCTGATGTACGGACGGAATGCGGATGGTGTCCTCTTTGCGGTGTACAGCAACACGTACCAGCCTCTAACATGTAGATCGCACGGGTATATAATGCGGTGCATTCTTGAGGGTTGTACTGACTCTGAGACTTTCTCCCACACCTTCTCTCGGCCTCAAATCACACGTCGTTCTATTACCGCCGGTATTCATCATGGTCAAGGTAAGAGACGCCACCGTGTTGTTGACATCGCTGCGACGTGGCTGATCAAGCCGGACAGTTTCTCTCCGCCGTTCTCGCGCTGGTCTCGGCCGTCGCCGTTTCTGCGGCAGCGATCCCCGGCGATGCCGTCGAGGTGATTCGCTCCGCCGAGGTCGAGGTCGTCGACAAGCGTGCTACCTGCGCCTATACGTGTGGTACCATCTGCTACTACTCGACCACGGTGACGGCTGCGAAGAACAAGGGCCACCAACTCCGGACGTCTGGTTCGACCATCAGTATGTTGCCAATACCAAATGAATTTACACCTTCTCTTGTGTTCAATACTTACCACCGCAAATCAGACGGATACCCCCACCAGTACAACAACTACGAGGGCTTCAGCTTCCCGACTTCGGCCCCGTGGTACGAGTTCCCCATCATGAACACCTTCACCGTCTACACGGGTGGCTCGCCCGGACCCGACCGCGTCATCTTCGACGCGAGCGGCAACCTGGACTCGGTCATCACGCACACCGGTGCCAGCGGCAACAACTTTGTTGCTTGCAAGAAGGGTTAGACTGGCGTATTCCCAGTGGGGACAGCTGGGACCTCGTTCGGGTTGCGACGCTTTTCACTTTCCTCACGTACATAGTCTTGCCGCTCAGTACAAAACTGCAAATACAAACGGCTTCCTATCTGATAAATCGGGTCTCTTTTGATAACTCGGAAGGTCAGTATTGGTCAAACACCTGTTCAGACAAAGAGACAGTACCTCTTAGTCCTCTGCCTTGACACCGTATTCCCCGCTCTCGTACAGCGTCCCGTTCGGCACACCGCGGTTCTCCGCAATCAGCCCGATGAGCTGCTGCCCGACGTCTTTCATGTCGTTGTACTCTTTAAGGAGGCTGATGTGGTCTTGGACTGTGACTTCGGCTGGCTGGCTACGTACCCCATCGTTAGCTGTATAAGTTTGTCTTGCTGTCAGGCAAACAATGATAAAAGAGTTCCGCACCCGAGTTGTCCTCTCTCCGTTCCGATGGCTTCAAACGTTTCGAATAAGGAAGCCATGTCCTTTTCCGCCTGCGCAAACCCATCGCACTGAGCAGGCACACATGTCAGCATATCTGCATAAATGCACGATGATGGCTTGACTGTACCATCTGTCTCATGTACCCGAGGTATTGGCCCTGTATGAAAGTTCAGTTCCGCACAGTAGCGGGACTTGCGATGAGAGTTTAGACATACACCCTTGATATAATCTGCCTGCTTCTCATCCACGGCGTTGATTTCCGCACTCTCGTCCCGTCCTGGGCCTGTCACGGTAATCTTGATACTGCCATCGTCGCAAGCTCGTGTGCGGGTCTTGATCGCCCAGGGCTCGGGTTGGTCTAGCATAGTGGATTTGCGCGTCTTCTCAGCTTGGATGATGCTCTCCTTGTACTTTGCAACTCGTTCCTGCACTGTCGATGCGATGTTCCCGTAGTTACGTTCTGCATTGATGTGTTTGTTCAGCCACTCGTCAAAGGACGCGATCAGCGACAATTGAGTTTGCACCGCATCAACGAGCGCAATTGAGGCTGTGGTCGTTGGTTCTTGGGGGGATTGAGAATTGGAGCCATGTGGTGCCATTGTTTCAAAGAAAATTCGTACTGAGTACTGGGAGGGTTGGCGGGCAAGGTTCAATCGCAGTGATAAATGGAGGGTTTTGAGGTTGAGTTCAAACGGTTAAAGTAATGATTTTCGCTTCCAAACCGTAACGATACTGGACCCTAACCCTAAGCTACTAACGCTGCATCGCATTCCGCCATGAAGCATGCGCCTGCTGAAGATGGCATTAAACATCGCTCGCAATTGTGGCATCCATGCTGGTCCCCTCTCAATCTGCCACTGAGAAGTTTCCCTTATGAATCGATAACACGTCAGCCTCGCTCCAAATCTTCCCGTCTGTTCTGTTTGTCCAGGCAGAAAGGCCTCTGGTACGGTATTCACCCCCCTTCCCTCCTGTTCACCCGCCACCGTGATTCTGACTAAAGAGGTCCGTAACGCTTAGACGTCTCCCAGCAGCCATGTCATTGCGCGGGTTCTCTGTTTGCAACGCCGCTCCGTCGTTCAGTTCCGCCTGCTCCGCCGCCGCAGCTTCGATCAACGAGTCCAACGCCAACCGCGCCTGTTGCCAGGCCCCACGTATGATTGTCGAGTTGATATCTCGCGTGTTCGCCTCGTCGGCGTGGATCCATATCCCGATCACCTCCTTCTCCGCCGCGCCTTCGTCGCTATCGTTGCTCTCCGATCCAGTGTCATCCTCTAGCCGGAACACGACCAGCTCTCCGACCACCTCGCAGTCGCTGA